AAAAAAAAATTGATTGATTGATTTTTTTTCGCCATTCATTTTCCATTGATAAGAATTGTATAATATTAATGGATACTTTTACTGTATAAACTGGGCAGAAATTGAATAAATCAAAAATCAAAAAAAAAATCATGATGATAATAAATGCAAGTGTCGTTGACAATTGTGCAATCATCATCATCATCATCATCATTATTGATCAGTTTAGGAAAAGCGACCATTTTTTTCACAAAACTGATCAAAGATAAACGTATTTGCATCACACACCAAACCAATCCAAACAAAACAAACCGATGCAGATAAAGTAATCAATAATTTTTTTTCCAACACCGAAATGGGCTTGTTCTCTGTGTTTGTTCCAGAAATGACCGGATCCACCAAACAATTGAAAAGAAGAAAAATTATTTTTCATAATTCAATCAATCAATCAAATTGAATCAAATATCATTCAATGTTTATTTGAAATGCTTCAAGCGAAATTACTTTTTTCTCCTTCAATTCAATACATCATCATCATCATCATCATCATCCGATGCAGCAGCAGAAATTATGAATAAAACTTTTACGTAATCATATTATCAGCAATCGAAAAAAAAAATAGTAGCCAAAATACAAATCGAACAACTGTGATGATGAGAATGGATCCTAAATGAAATGTGGAAAATGAAATCGAGATATGAAATGAATGAATGAAATGAAATGATCCAACCGAACGAAACATTTTTATTTATTTTAAAAAACACAATAAATTACTTTTTTTGCTTTTGCCTTTTGCTTTTGCCAACTACTATATTCATTCACCAAATATAAAATAATCAATCAAAGTCAAAAATTATGGTACGCGATAATTCAAATGCACACGTACTATTTTCTTTTTTCGTCGTCGTTGTCGTAAGTTTTTTGATCCAAAAGTTTGAATGATGATGATGGTTGATTCAAATGAATACTTTTTTCCTCAAAAAGTTTTTTTCCCAATTAAATCCCTTTATGTTTTTTTTTCGGAAAGTTTTTTTGAAATTAGAAAAAAAAAAGTTTTAATTTCTTTTTCGTTGATCAAATGCAAATATTATTCCGTTATGCCACTACCGTTGCATCAGATGATGATGATGATGTAACATCTTTCCACTGAAAAATCATAAGGCCAATTGAACAAAGATTTTTTGGACCAAAGGCGTTTCATTTGATAGATATCATTGATCGATCAAAAAAAAAACATTGGCTATTGTCACCAACCGATCATCATATCTCGAAAGCCAACTTTCCAAAAAAATACCCCTGCAAATGAAATTAAATGATGACAATAGAAATACTTGGCATAATAGTAAAAATGGTAATCAATCATTCAAATGAATGAAGAATGGAAAAATAGACACGATAGTGTCGAAATAGCTGTGTTTCTTTTGCCATATCAAAAGATTTATCATTTGAATTGAATTGAATAATATTTCTCCTCGATTACAAATGAAGAATATCTTTGTTGTTGTTGTTGTTTGCTATGTGAAATATGGTGACAGCAGTAACCGAAATAGTAACATTTGAGAAATTGAAATCGATCGATCGATCGATCGATTTCAAAATCTTCTTTTTGGAATCAGAAAACAACAAAATTTTGACAATTGTCACACAGAGTATGGACCAAATATGGACATTACATAATGTTAATGGCCAGGTGTTTTTTTTTCTTCTAACTTCAGGTTGTAATCAACAACGACAACAACAAATTTTCTCACCTTGATTCATTTACCGTCGACAACAACAACAACGATGAATGAATGAATGACGATTATTATTAATGATATTTTTTTTTTGGCAAAAGAAATGGATATTTTTTCTCACTTGCACTTGAATTTCCTGTTTGTTTGCTGGTTTTTTTTTTGTTGCTTTAGTTTGATTATTGAATCGATTCAGCAATCAAACTAAAGCAAAACCAAAAACGAATGGAAGAGAAAAACATCATCAATCGTCATTAAGAGTATTCCAAATATGACAACTTTGCTTTTTTTTTGGTTGAAAATTCATATTTAAATGACATATGATATTTAACAATGAAAATTGCGAATGAATGAATGAATGAATGAAAAAAAAAAACGAAAAGATTTTATTATTTTCATCTTTAGGTCAATAAAAATGATTTTTTTTTTGTTGAAATTTTTTGAAATTTTTTAAAATTTTAATATCAATTTTTTTTCAAAGCAATGTTATATTCAAATTCATCAATCAATATCATGTGTGTTTTGGTTTATGGTTCGTTTTTCGGGTAAGTATTGTGTATGTAAATGTGAATTGGATTTTCAAACGATAAATTTGAGGATTTTTCCCTCATATACATGGTTTTTTTCTTTTTGGTGACTACATTGATGTTTTTTTTTGCATAATGTTTATTGTTTAAATATATGAAATTGTGTTAATAAATAGAGATAGAGTATAGAGAGAATATTTTTTCCATTTATAAATAAAGATTTTCCGGATAAAAGATAAGATATACATAGTGTGAGAGAGAAAAGAATTGTATGTGTGTGGTCATGTTATTTTGCATAATAATGACATGGTGACAGTCAGTTTTTTTCTTTGCGGTGGTGAAAATATTTATCAAGATAAGAATTAAAAAATGAAGAAAAAATCAATCATAATTACTAAATTACTAATTATTAATTGAATAATAATAATAATGATGATTATTGAATAAGAATAATGTTCAAAATATGTGCAAAATAACTGTGTTTCAACAACAACAACAACAATAAGAATAATAAGAATAATGGTTATTATTTTGTAAAGAATTGCAAGAATTAGTGAGAAAGAGAATCGTATTTTGGGGAGAAAGATGCAAAATTCATTCATTTTTTTTTTTTTTGAAAATGAAATGACAATATTGAAATTGTTGTTGTTGTTGTTGTTGATAATCCACAAATTTAATTAATTTTTTTTTTGTTCACCACTTTTTTGACAGCAATATTTGACATTCACACATACAGAGAGAAAGAGAGTGAGAAATATAAACAAACAAAATTTTCGATTGTATAAAGCATCCATCATCATCATTCTTCTTTGCATCCTTCATCATCATTTCACTGATATTTAATTAATTAATTAAGAATATGAATATGAAACATATTTGTTGGTGGTGGTGGTGGGGGAAAAAAAGAAAAAGTAATAAGCATCATCATCGTGCATTGATTGTTTGTGTGTGTGTGTGTGTGTCAAAGACAAAATTCTTTTCTTCATTAGGTTTTGGCGGGGGTTTTTCTCTGATCGATATAAACACCATTGTGTAACAATTAACCAAAAAAAAAATTAAAAAAACATCACCATTGTTTGTGACTGACTGAATGGATGAAATGACTGGCATTGACACATCTAGCATCATCATCTCTCCAAAGCAAATTCTGTTGAATGAATTCTGCATTGTTGCTACTAATTGTTTCTATATAGACAAAAAAAAACTTTCCTTTTCTTTTTGATTGTTTGAGGTTAAATTAATTTTTTTTTTTTTTTTGAAACAAAACAAAAAAAAATTCTGATTCTAATAGTTGCAGAATCATCATCATATCACACACAAATACAGTGTGAATATGCATATTTTTTTTTTGTTCGTATTTTAGTTTTCTGTCATTGATGATAACAATAATAATGTTTGTTATTGACATTCATTTTTTAAAAAGCATCTCTCTCTCTCTCACTCTCATTCAAACACACATCTGTAAAAGAATTCTATGGAATCCATATATCGTTTTGAATGACAATGAATGAATTCTATGGACAAAAAAAAATGAGCCACACGACAATCAAGCAAGCAACGAAAAAAAAAACAATGAAATTGATAAAGGATAACCAATCTGTTGTTGTTTGTTTGTTTGTTTGTTTCGATTCAATTTAATTATAATCAGGGTTATTTTTTCGGTTATTATTTTGGCTTTTGTTTTTAAAACAATAAAGGATGTGTGTATGTTTCAAACATATATCTTCGATGATGTGATGACAAACAAATTTCAAAAAATTTTCAAAGTTTGCATATTTTTTTCTCTCTCTCTCTTTCTTTCTCTCTGTCCCAGTGTGTGTGTGTTTTATATTTAGGTTCCAGCTTTGTTTGTTTGTTTGTTTGTCAGTTTGTGATTTGATCGGGTTATATTATCCTGGTGATATGTGCAAAAACGGGTGTTTGTGTAAAACCAATGAATATTGTTAATAGGGAAAATTTTGCCTAAATAAACAAAAAAAAAAAAAAATGCATCATCGCCATGTTTATTTTTGAATTTTATTCTTTTTTTGTTTTTTTCATGCCTGGCTTAATCGAATTGTTGTTGTTTTTTTGAATCGATTCTGTTCATATAATTTGAATGGAAAGTTCCTGGGAAATTGTTTTCGGGAATATTCTTTATTTTGGATGAGGATTTTTTTAGCAGGTGAAAAAAAAAAAATTCAATCAGCTTCATCCGATGACGATGATGAAGATGAAGATGATGTTGATGATGATACTGATGCTGCTGCTGATGATGATGGTGACGGTGATGGTGATTGTGATGATAATGATCGTGTTGGTGATATTGATGATAATCGTGTGGGTGATTGTTGTTGTTTTTGTTGTCCAGTTGTTGTTGTCGATGGTTGCTGTTGTTGTTGCGTATTTATTGTTGTTGTTGGTGGTGTCGGCGGTGTAGGCGGTAACGATGACAATGATGTTGATGGTGGTGATGATTTACCATTGTTATTTGCTTGTTGTTGTTGTTGTGATTGGTTATTTTGATTGGTCAATGACCCATTATTATTATCATTATCATTATTTGATGATAATGATGATGATGAGTTGTTGTTGACCGTTTGTTGTTGCTGTTGTGGACTATATTGTTGTTTGTTGTTGCTATTTGATGATAAATTATTACTATGACTGCCCATTTGGGTTGTCGTTGTTATCGGTGGTATTGTTGTTGTTGTTGTTGATGATGATAAACTTGTCATTGCTGTTGTCGTTGTCGGTGGTGATGATAATTTTTTGCTATTACCATGTTGTTGATGTTGAAGTTCATTTTCTAATTTACGACGAAGTTTACGTTCTTTTTTGAAACGTTTTTGATAGATAACTAAGAGAGGAGAGAGAAACGGAAATTTTTTGAAAAAAAAAATTTCGTAAATTTTTCTCAAATTTTTGAATTGAATTTAAAATTTTACCTCGAATTTTTTGCTCTTCATTCAATTGTTTTTCAACATGTTCACGCAGTTCACGTTCACGATCCAATTGATTTGAATATTCATTACGTATTTCAGCTATTTGAGAAAAAAAAATCAAAGAAAAAAAAATTTGATAATGACAAAAAAGCAATGAAAAAACATTGGAATTTTTGCAATTTTCATTACATTCTTCTTTCATTTCATTTCATTTTTCTTACATATTTTCAGCCAAAAAGTAGATAAAAATTATGTAAGACACGTATCACACGTTATTTAATGTTCATTTTTTTCAGGATTCTGTAACCCTTTCTCTCTCTCTCTTTTTATATATTCGTTTTGTTATTAATATTTTTCACACATCATCATAATAATCATTGTTTTCATTATTGCATCATTGAATCGAAAATAACAATAATAATTTCTCATTCGATAAAGGAATTTTTCTTTTTTTTTTGGTTGAAACTTTTTTGTGATTGTTCCATATATATGAAATATGTAGCATTAATTTTATCGCATTGAAAAGGGTGAGAGCAAAAGATTGAGAATGAAAGGGTTAGGATTCATATAAGCGTAAAAAAGTGATTTAATCCTTTTTTTTTTGTTTTTTCTCCCTTAACTCGTGGGTAAAGAGAATGAAATTCCGTATGGAATGAAATGGCAACAACCAAAAAAAAAACCTCTATACACAGAGAAAGAATTTCATAACTAAAAAGCATCATGTGAGTCAGGAATCCCCAAACAAACACAAACACAAAAGTCAATTGTATTCCTGGATCACGGTAATTTTGGTCAGAAACAGCGAAAACAAAAAGCCTTATTTTTTTAAATTAAAATGATGCGGTTTTTCGCCTTCACGTTCACTCACTGATGATGTTCAGGAATCTTTTTTTTCATATTTTGATTTTTTGGGAGAAAAAAAAGGGTTGTGCATAGTGTGTGTGTGCGACAAGAAAAATTTAATTTATTTCGATTCTATTAATTTTAGTTTTTTGATTAACGTTAACCCTCGTGCACCATCGTCCTCGTGTGTGTGTACGGATATTTCATTTCAGAAAAAAAAACCACATTTAGTTTTTTTTTCTGTTGATGTTAATTTCCGTATGATTATCACGATGATGATGATGATAATCATTGGATATAATGATAGAAATGGAGAAATGAAAGAAATGAATTTTTTTTCATTTTCAAACGAACGATATGATTCATTACAAAAGAGTTTAATTATCTTTTTTTTTCATCATCAACATCATCATTCTTATTCTGGTGATGGATTGATTTTTTCTGTTTTGTTTTGCTTTGTTTCTTTGTTTCACTTTTTATTCATTCATTCAGTTTGAAATGTGATTCACAGAATAGAGATGCTATGAATTCAGGAATAGAGATGTGGATGGAATTTTTTTTTTGTTGCAAAGCAACCGAAAGAAAACACACACACACCAAAGAAAAATGAATTAGCAAGAACCGAGACAAAGAAAGAAAGAAACTACTCGTGTGTCCATAATCCATTCAATAGAATGGAGAATGGAGAATTATCATCACTATTATCATCATAAATATTAATAATATTGACTGTTTTTCACACTCTATCTTTATCTGTTCGGTTATTTTTTTTTCGTAACATTTTTATTCATGAATGAAAATTTTAAAACTTGGACAGAAAAGATGCGTATGTGTTTTTTTTGAAAAAAAAAATATTAATCCACACCGTGTGGACTGACAATGCGACTATAAAAAAAAATACTGTGGATGCGTGTGTGTGTGCCATTTGAAGATAATAAAAATTTTTTGATTTAATTTATTCATTCATTTTTCATATTGATAATTCAGTTTTTTTTCTGATTTCGTTGTTTGTTTAAAAAAAAATAAATTGAAATTTTTTTTGTTGTTGAACAAAACTAACCTTTTTGCAGTTGAAGTTGTGCTTGCTGTTGTCTAGCATTATGTGCTGCAATTGCTAATAAACCTTCAATATTTCGTAATAATGTTTCCAAACAATGTTCCGGTTGTTGTTGTTGTTGCTGCTGTGGCTGTTGCTGCAATGATTGATTCAATAATTGTTGTATAGCAACATTTTGTTGATGATTCAATGATGATGATGACTGTCCAGTTGCTGCAATTGCTGCTGATCCATTTGGAATCGACAATAATGATGATTCAATTGTTGAATCATTATTTGAATGATGATTACGATTATGATCAAATGAATAATTTCTTCCGGTTATACTATTGTTTCCGATGCCTTTTTTTCAAGAAAAAAAATCAAAAAATTGCAGAAAAAAAAATTTGTGCAATTTTAAATTGCAACTAAAATTCTTACCATTAAAATTTGTTGAAATATTTTGATTATCACCACTAACAACACTATGATTACTATCGATATCATTATCATCTCTATCTCTAATTCTACCATCGTTTCGATTATTATCATCCTCATCATTATCGGTTGTATCGGCATCTTCATCATCTTCATTAATGTAATTTTTTATCAATCTTTTTGCAGATCGTGATGATGATGATTGCTGCTGACCAGTGTTGTTGTTGTTGCTGTTTGTATTGGATAAACCACCATTGATCATTGATGATTTCATTTCTAAATCAGATTTATCTGTAGAACGATTTTTCGAATGATGATGATTTGAATAATGATGATGGTTATGATGATCCATTTTATTTCTACCGATTACAGCTTGATGATGATGATGATGATTTCCATTATTATCATTATCGATTGTTGTTGATGATAATGATAAATTGCTGGCAATCAATTGTTGTGATTTTTCATTAATCAAATCACCAATACTACCACCATTACCATCTCCATTCAATGATATTGTTGAATTTCCATTGTTGTTTCCAGAATTATTTTTCGTATCAAATAATGAAGAAGTTCCATTGAAAAAATTATTAGCTGCTGCTTGTAAACTATCGATACCGGCGGCGTTGGTGGTGGTCAATGAAGAATTACGATTAGTAAGATTTAATGCAGCAGCAGCAGCAGCTGCTGCTGCTGCAGCATTTGCAGGTAAATGCTGCAATTGCTGCTGTTGTTGTTGTTGTTGTTGCGATAAAAGCCATAAATATGCTGCTGTTGGATTAAAATCAGCAGCGGCTGCAGCTGCCGCAGCCGCTGCTGCAATCGCTTGTTGTTGTTGTTGATTATCCAATATCGATCCAGGAATTGCCGATGCTGTTGTTGTTGTTACTGCTGCTGCTGTTGTTGATGATGATGATGATATTGTTGGTGATAAATTCGAAACAATACCATCAAGATTACGATTTCCATTATTATTATTCAATGAAGATAAACCACCAAATGCACTATTTCCACTTATTCCTGTTCCTGTTGGTGCAGTCGACGATGATGGTGATGATGATGAATAATGTTGCTGTTGATGATGATGATGATGATGTGAAGTTATACCTGATGGTGTTGGACTACCACTATTATTATTATTACTGAATCTATTTTGTTTTTTGACAAAGTGAGAGAGAGAAAACGAAGTGAAAAAAAAAAATTAATTAATCATTCAGCATAACTAATTATTTATTTGAGGGATTTTTTGTTTCCAGCCGAAAAACAAGAAAAAAAAGGGTAATCTCATATTTTGTTTGTTGCAGTCAATATTGAATGTCATTTTCCACCGCCACCACCATCATATTTGAAAAAAAGCTAACCATCGCAATTCAATCAATTCAAATATGAAACTTTTGAAACAAGAAAAGAAAAAACAGCTGAAATTTGCATACAAAAAACATTAACCAAGTAGCAGCAATCAAATGATGAAGGATTATCATTTTTTTAGCTGCTGCTGTTTTGCTGTTTTATCATCGCAAATGATAATGATGATGATCCACCATTACAAACAATTCAACAACAACAACAACAAAAATGAATATTAAAAAACATGGGCAATAAATCTATAATTCGTGCCTTTCCTGATGTCTATTTTGACATTTATCCAACTGGGTGGGGGTGAGAAGGCTATATCAACCCAAAAAAGTGTTGATGAAAAAAAAAATTTGAAGCAAAACGTGACATTTGAACGAGTGTTTTTTGCTTCTGGAACACATTCAGTTGGTTGGTTGGTTGATGGTGGTTCAAATTGGTGATACAAAAAAAAAACAGCAAATTGATGCTTTAGAGAAAAAAATGTTTTATTTGATTTGACTGTGTGTGTGTGTGTTTGTGCAATGATAACAAAACAAAACAAAAAACACTGATGGAAATAGATCACTTATACGACCAAATAATAATCATAATATCCGTAACCAAAATGGATCATCATGATTTTTTGACTGTTGAAAATAAAGTAAATAAATAAAAACTATTTCTACTATCATCATCATCATCATTGTTTTAAATCAAAAAAAAAAGTATAAAAAAAAAGACAAAGCTGGTTCAAAAATTTATTCCTTACTGTGTTTGTTCAAGTGATTTTCATCATCATTGAATCATTGAAAAAAATAACAGAAAGTAAAAAATCCTCACAAACAATTCTTTCTTTTTGGTGACTTTTTAATGGCCAAATATATCTATCTAGTTTTACTTTTGCTTTTGAAATTCAATAAAAATTTTTTTTTGCCTGGCTTCTGGATTTGCAATCAACAAGGAAGTCATAAAATAATGGCTGCTGCAACAAAAAACAAAAAAAAAAACAAATTGAAAAAACAAAAATTCAATCTGTCAGTCTGTTTCTGTGTGTGTTATTGTGTGCTTTATGGATAACAAGAAGAAGAAAATCTTTGCTCATCATTATTATCATTTTAATGACCGAAAATGTTCATTTTCAATAATGTTTTTGTTTGTTTGTTTGTTTGATTTGCTGCATGGCAAATAAATAAATGAAAAAAATCTTTTTTTTGGTCACACATAAATCAATCGGAGAATCGGAAGAAAAAAAAAGTTTCAAATGTTTTCAAATATTTTGATTTGAGTGTGCGCACATTTGATGCAAGATGAATCAAAAATGTCTGGCAATAATGAAAATGGATACAGAAAAAAACTTCTTTTTTTTGGATTTTTCGTTGTTGCTGTTTTTGAAATGAATCACTGAGAGTGAGAGTGAGAGAGACAAATTGATGGAAAACATTGTTTTGTTGTTGAATTCCTACCAGAAAACAACAAAAAGTATCTCTGCAGTTTTTGTTTTGTTTTGTTGTGAATATCCGATGATCAATCCGTGGTAGAAAACAATGAAAAAAAAACAACATCCAATTTGAATGAATCTTTAGCCAAAAAAAAAAATGCAACAAAAAACA